CTGCTTACGATTGTGTGATTTCAATTTTGATGAGTGCTCTCCAAAATTGAAAAATACGGCAACGAACAGATTTGAAGAGTACTCTCCAATTTTGATGAGCCNAACGGTGGCCGCATGCCTATACAGTTTTCTACCTCAGTGAACGTTTCGTGTCGATATAGAAAATTTTTGAAATTTGTTTTTCTGAATAATCAGGGATAAAACGCGTCAATGATAAATTAAATATTGATAGGAAAATGATGTTCAGAATCAGATTTTTAGAAAAAATTCATTTTATTTATACTCATTATATTTGACTATACATTGTTCGATTTTGACAAGTATGATGACAATATACTTAATACAGGAACAATGACGATGCATTCGATCCAGGAACGACGATGATATGCGGTAAATGAGGTAATAATTAGTAATGCATATATTTAATCAGTATATAAAAATGAAAATATCTAAAAAAATTAGGTCGTTTTTTATGAGCAATAAATCGACATTGGGATGGATTGATTTATTTGTTTAATGTGAATCATTCTGTTTCATCATTTGTTTCGGAATCCCGAATTTGTGGTGTTTCTTCATTCATATGTCGATTTTCGTTCGATAGGGGAATAAATTTTTTAGATTCTGGAAAAGAAATAAAATATTTTTGAAAATTAAATTTGATTGAACATAAGATAAAATTTAAATTACCTTGAGTAATTTGGGATGGCAATGGTTTGTTAACAACAGTTTTTTTAGAAAAAACACACCGTTTAACAATTGCAATTGAAACTACAACTGCAACTACAACTGCAACTGCAACTGCAATTATCACTGAATTATCGGAATTATTGAAATTTTTATTGTTGTCTATCGATACATTTAAATATGGTGTTGAATTAAAAGTCTCTGTATCATTCTTTGAATGTGTTGTTGATTCAAATGTTGTTGTTATCGAATGTGTACAATAGTACTTTTTATCCGGTATACCTTCTGGACATCGACATTCACCATTATAAACATCATCTTTTAAGCACACTTGTTCACCATAACATTTTAAATTATCATCGCATTGAACAATAGGGATACATTCATCTTCATAAGTTGACTGGCAACCCGTTTCGCAATTTTTATCTGTTTCATATCCACAATTAGGCTTGCAGTAGCCTTTAGTTTTGTCTGAACATTTGAATTTTTTATTTCGGCACTGAAATGTTTGATTGCAATATCCAAATATTGATTCACATTTTCCCNAAATGTTGTTGTTATCGAATGTGTACAATAGTACTTTTTATCCGGTATACCTTCTGGACATCGACATTCACCATTATAAACGCCATCTTTTAAACACACTTGTTCACCATAACATTTTAAATTATCATCGCATTGAACAATAGGGATACATTCATCTTCATAAGTTGACTGGCAACCCATTTCGCAATTTTTATCTGTTGAATATCCACAATTTGGCTTGCAGTAGCCTTTAGTTTTGTCTGAACATTTGAATTTTTTATTTCGGCACTGAAATGTTTGATTGCAATATCCAAATATTGATTCACATTTTCCCGATTTTCTTTCAAAATGAACTATACAATCGCATTCATTATCCATTGTCTTAAATTCGTATTCATCACACTTTAATTCTTCTTATTTGAAAAAAAGAGATTTAAAAATTGTTTCAAAAATAATACAATAAAATTTCAAAGTATCAATATACATACCCAATGGTTTTAAAAAGATATTTGGAATGAAAAAAACAAAAACGAACAACAAAAAACTTAAGGAATACATTTTTTTGCGAATCGTTTCACCTCTTTGTTTTTTTAAAACAAAAAGAAACTCAAATTATCTTTAGCACTTTTAATTATCTATAAAAAAACGAAATCAAATCAATTGTCTACGCATTAGAATTTTTTTTTTGTTATCACAATCATACCTGATGAAAAATATTAAAATAGATCATTGAAATCCATTTAATCAGATAAATAAATTTCTGAAATTTTGAGAAACTTTTTTTCATTTCATAAAACAAACACATTATCATCATCAAATTCATATTTAGCGAAAGAATTATTTCAAAGAATACAGTAAATTATGATGTTAAGAAGATAAAAAATCATTTCTCCTTAGTTACAATTTATCATAACGGATTAAGAAAAGCAATGCATCATAATTTAGCTTTTGTTTTTCATCGTTTATTTCCATATGCACAAACAAAGATTTGTTGTAATTATAAGTATAGCCAATTAAGATAAGAAAAGTTATTGCATTTCTTACAACATGTTATTTTTACATGTTATACAAGAAATCTATTGTAAAAATCATTACAGATCCAATCGTTTATTGCATTCTACCATTTTTTTTACTGACCAATTCCAAAACCATTCAATTCAAATTACATTTTCATAAATAATCATCCTGATATTTTTTTTGTTTTTACAAATTTTTATTTTTTATTAATAATTAAAAAAACAAAAATAATGATGAACAAACAAAACAACAAATGAATAATACACACAAACATTTGTATCATGTATA